GGGGGGGGGGGGGTTGTATGTATAAATTCCATAGGCAAGAAAGTTTAAGAAACATACGCCATTAATTATCTTTAACTCTTGCGATGTTCAAAGGTTAAGCAAATTAATAAATTTGTGTCTGATAACGACTAAAGGTTCTTTTATTTACTTTAAAAATTAAGCGTGGCCTACTTAATTATTGTTACCATTTCTCAAAAAATTAATTTAATTATTGTTGAAGACGACGTTGACTCGCCAAAAGACATAACATTATTTTGAAAAAAGATGGATATATGGCAGAAGAGTTGGTAGTATTGACCTTCCACGAAATTACGTACTTGTCATGAAAAGTTTATAATGTCTCCATAGAATGGGTGAAAATCATTTTTCCTCCGGAAGTTTGCGTTAAAAATCAACCTCCCCCCTCTTTCAATATTAGGCATCTTCGCCCCTTTACATCAATATTCGGTCATTGATCGATAGCTTTAAAATATTTGACCAGTCATTATAGGGGCAACTCGTAATTTCACTTTTTTTTAGTGGAGTGCTCTTGTAACGACCTGGTCGGTCGTTTTGAGAGCTAACTCCCCGATCCCCTATTAACTGCTTTCCCCGTATCTATTTCTGTTATTGTGATTTGCCGGGATGGTTCATCTTGAGTTTCGGAGTGTTTTGGGACACTTAGTCCCTATATGAGAGCTTAAGTCTTAGAATTTTGACCGTAGTCGGAGCAGTGTGAAGACTGCTCCGGAATGGAATTCTGTCAATCCTGTTAGCTCCGTTAGGTGATTTCGGGCTTAGTGGTGTGTTCGGATTGTGTTTTGGAGGTTCGTAGCTTATTTAGGCTTGAAATGGCGAAAGTTGAATTTTGGAGTTTCGGGCCGATAGTGAAATTTTTGATATCGGGGTTGGAATCAGATTCCGAAAGTTGGAGTAGGTCCGTAATGTTGAATATGACTTGTGTGCAAAATTTGGGGTCAATCGGACATGGTTTGGTTGGTTTCGGCATCGGTTGTAGATTTTTGGAAATTTAAGTTCATTAGGTTTTGATTGGAGGGTGATTCGTGGTTTTAGAGTTGTTTGATGTGATTTGAGGGCTCGACTAAGTTCGTATGATGTTTAAGATTGGTTGGTATGTTTGGTTGAGGTCCCAGGGGCCTCGGGTGAGTTTTGGATGCTTAATGGATTTGAATTTGGACTTAGGCAAGTTTCTGATATGTTGAACCTGTTGTTTTTGCACCTGCGGATTTTGGACCGCAGGTGCGGAGCTGCAGAAGCATCTTGGTGATCGCAGAAGTGGAAAAGGGCCAAGGCATCAAGGACCACAGATACGCCTGGGAACCGCAGATGTGGAACCGCAAATGTGGCTCAGTGACTGCAGATGCGGCCCTAGCCCGGATAAGTTGTTTTCGCACTTGCGATGCTCTTTACGCAGGTGCGTCCCCATGACCGCAGATGCGATAATCGCTGGGTAGAAATATGAAATTTCGAGGGTTTGAAGTTCAAAACATCAAATTCGATTTTGAGCTCGGGAGAAGGCGATTTTGTGAGGTTTTTGAAGATAAAATCAGTGGGTAATGATTCCTAACCCTATTTCGTGTATATTTCATCAATTTATTGTTGTTTTACTCATCTAATCAGGTAATTTGAGTGGAAAATGGGAAAATTGGGGGAAAAGTTCCCTAACCGAGTTTTTGGGTTTTGATCGAGTTTTAGGTGTCGGAATTTTGTAATTTTTGGATGAATGATCTCGTGAGTGAATGGG